TCAGCCACATAAAGCCCGAGGCTTGGGTGGATCCCACCCCACCTCCTGCCCTTTATTGAGTAACTAAAAGTGAAAGTGCAGCCCTGGGGGTCCTGGAGGATTGTGCCACATCCATTTCTAGGGTCTGTCCTGCTCTCTGCTCCCAGCAGGAGGAATCCTCTGCCTTCCCAAGGCCTGTGGCTGTGCAGCTACTGCTCTTTCCCACTGGGAATAACTTTTCCTTCCTGAGCACAGCCCTGCAATCCCTGTCTAAACTGCTGCCTGATTTTCAGCCTATTTTTTTGGCGTGGAATACAGACATATTTTTGTGGAATGATGCCAAAAAAAAAGAAAAAAAAAAAAAGGAGGGTTCCAGGAGGTTGATTTCCTTGTGAAACTTCTGGCTTGGAGTTGCCCTGAAACGCTCCAGTGGGACTATTGTTCATGATGAACTTTCCCCCTGCTCTGAGGTCGGTCCTTGCTCACTGCTGCTGTCACCAACATCAGCTGAGAAGGTTCAAAGTTGGATTCCTGGAATGGAATTGGCAGCAGGGTTTTCTCAGCAGCAATCAGCCCGTGACAGCTTGCCAGGGCTGAAACCTGCCTGCCTGCAAGAGGTGGTGGCCAAGTAGAGCCACCAGGAGAGAGGCAGCAGCCAGAGGAGAGAGTCCTACACGTGTCTGCTGAAGGGGATTGCAGGGACATTGGTGAGCTTGTGTGTCTTGCCAAGAAACCTTGGGGGGTGTGCAGGGAGTTCTGGAGCTTCCTAAGCTGAACCTCTCCACGGACACAACCATTGACAGCATCTGAAGATGAGATAATCCCCTTTATTCTCTTGTAGGCTTCCAGGATGGAGGAGACCTCTGACGAGCCTCCAACTTCTGCTGTCTTCTTAGACAGCTGCCACTTCTCCCAGGTCGTCTTTAACAACGTGGAGAAGTTTTATGTTCCTGGAGGAGATGTGACCTGTTACTACACCCTCACACAGAACATTGTGCCTCGTGGGAAGGACTGGGTGGGCATCTTCCGGGTGAGTGAACCCTGTGAAGCCAAGTAGGAGGCAGGAACAAGGAGCTTGGACTTTGCTACAACACCCCTGAGGATTTTTTTCTTCTCATTAATAACCTTGTGTAATGGAACAGCTTTAATATGCACAGGGACAAAGTGCCAGACAAAAGTGACCTGAACAGCTTCAGGACTAATCAAACACTCTGATTTTCCTTTCCCACATAGACCACAACTCTTAGAAATCAAGACAACAATGCCAAAGTCCTGCCAATAACAGATCTGTGGGGAAATACAGCCCCATTACCATTGGATAAACATGACCTGTGTGATCCCATATAACCATTTTGCTCCTGCAGGTGGGGTGGAAGACAACAAGGGAATATTACACGTTCCTGTGGGCTCCTCTGCCTGGTGACACCCACAGTGACACCGTTGTGCAGCAGCAGATCCAGTTCAAAGGTGAGCCAGGAGCTTGGGTCACTCAGGGGCTGTGTCCCCGTGCACACACAGCCTCCCCCTTTGCTGCCACTAACGAGCCCTACGTTCAGAACTACACAATTATCTGTGGGACCTTGCTTTGGGAGACATTTCACATGCTAATAATCAATGATAAAGTTTTGAATCTGCTGAATTCTGCCATCCTGATGGAGTGATGTTGTTTGTGTTCTCGTCGCTGGCACAAGGAGTTACTCACCATGCAGGAGTGATCCTGAACTAGAATGTCTCAGTTTTCTGAGCTTCTCACTTTCTGGGCTGTATAGTCAAGAGATTGGCATCATGAGAAGCTGTGTATGATGAGGTTGTGTTTGTCTGTAGCTTACTACCTACCCAAAGATGATGAGTACTACCAGTTCTGCTACGTGGACCAGGACGGCGTGGTCCGGGGAGCCAGCGTGCCCTTCCAGTTCAGAGCAGAGGCTGAGGATGACATCCTGGTGGTGACCACACAGGTTGGTGTCCTCTCTTCCCTTCTTTTCACTGCCTCAGCTTTTATTGGCATCTGCTCCCTGCCAACGTGGAGCCAGCCAGTCAATCGGATGCCAAGCTAGAATTCGGCAGGCTTGGATTCTGCTCTTGGCTTTGCTGCTGGTCTGTCACACAAATTTGGGCAGCTTTTGTTTCTCTACCTGCCATTTCTCACTTCGTTTGGAAGCTCTCTGTAATGGGGAGGGACTTAACACATCGTGTTTCAGGGCATTTTGAGTATTTTTAAATGAAACTGCCATTTTCAGGGAAGCAGCCAGTCGGTAGATGGGAGTAAGGGAGTGCACGTGGACATGTCCTTTGCCCATGGGGGGCAAAGGGGGCCAGACTCTGGTCAGTGGTGCCCAGCAACAGGACAAGGGGCAAAAGGCACCAACTGGAACCCAGGAGGTGCCACCTGAGCAGGAGGAGAAACTTCTTTGGTGTGAGGGTGCAGAGCCTGGAGCAGCTGCCCAGAGAGGCTGTGGAGTCTCCCCTGGAGAGATCCCAAACCTGCCTGGCTGTGACCCTGGGCACCCTGCTGGAGCTGGGGGGTTGGACAGGATGGTTTCCAGAGGTCCCTTCCAACCCCACCATGCTGGGATTCTGTAATAATCAAGACACTGTGAAGCCAAGCACTCTGATTTTGCAATGTCTTGTGTGCAGCCCTTTTGCTGATGACTACACTGCACACAGAAAGCCCCAGAGCTTTGCACAGAAAGCCCCAGAGCTTTACCTCTGCTGAATTCTGTGTCCACAGAAGGCATCTCCAAAAAAACAGGGGTAGTATGTGCTCAGTATTCAAGAACTGGCTCAGCTTTGGACAGAGTGGGGAGGGGGAAGCAGCAATCTGCTCTGCACCAGTAATGAAAGCACCAGGAGATGCCCAGTGTTCCCTTCTGCAGAGCTTATATTTCTGTGCTCCTCGTGCTGTGCTGTTTGGAATGTTGCTTTTTGGTGCCTCTGTTATAACCAAAGAATTTGCTGCTCACCAGGGAGAAGTGGAGGAGATTGAACTACAAAACAAAAATCTGCGTCAAGAAAATGAGGAGCTGAAAACAACCTGTGCAGGTCTCCAGAAACAGAACATGGGTCTGCAGGAAGAGCTCAAGAGGACACAGGTAGACAAAAAAGTCAATCTACTAAGTCAGAAGCTTTAAGTCTGAAAGATAAAGAGGGGCCAAGGCAGGTCTCGTTCCACTGTTTTGCCTCCAGGAGAAAATTAAAGAGGTTTCCCCCCATACTACCTGTTTAATCCTTTACCAAATCATACAACACCTCTGCTGGGAGAAGAAGAATGAACAAGAGACATGTTCAGACACAGGAGTCAGGAGCACAGGGGAAAGAGAGTGTTCAAAAATGCTTTGCAGGCAGTTCTGAAATCCCATTATCATTAACTTTGCCTCCTTCAGTTTTTCTCAGGGCTTAATATAAATGAAACAGGGTCTGAAAGAGTAGTCAGGATGCAGAGGAGAGATTCTCCTCCTTCAGATGCCTTCAAACTGCTTGGCAGTCTGGCATTTGAGGGGTTTTGCAGTTCCAGTGCAGAGCAGGACTGTTGTTTGGGTCCCATTTACCTCCTGTCGACCTCATTGTGATTTTTTCAGGAGCTGCAGGATAGTTTAGAGGCTCTAAGGAGCAACACAGAGACACTGGAGCTGGAGCTGAATTCCCTGAAAAAGGAGAATAAACATCTAAAGGAGCTGGATGAGTGCAGAGCAGCAGAACTGCACCAGTAAGTGTATTTACAGCATATCTCAGAACAGGGTTTTGGGTCAGCACCTCACCTTTATGGATTACATTTCCCTCTGTGAAAGTATGGTGTGTTTTGATGTGTTCTGAGCAGGCTCAAAGAACAAATTCAGAAGGTGACCACTGAGAAGGAACACTTGGAAAGCAGACTGAAAACAGCCCTGGATCACATGGACCAGCTGCAGGTAGCAAACAAGAGCTGCCCTCCTTTGCTGTTATAAATGATGTTCTGGTGGAATCTGTTTCTGAATACTTCAGCAAGTATGTGGTGTGTGAGTTTCATCTTTGATTACGTGGCTTCTTTAGGAAGATCTCAACCTCTGATATGATTTGACCTCCAGAAAACCTGAAGAAAGCTGTAATTTTATTCCCTAAAAACATCCCCTCATGAAGTTGACCCAAATAAGACTTTGTTTACCTCCTGCTAGCTAAGGATGGAGGCAGAAAACACTCCTGTTTTGAAAAACATTCTAAAAGTATATTCAGGGCTTGGGTGAAAACAAGACTTCTGGCTGGGAGCTCTGTGAAAGGAGAAAGTAGAGTGAAAATAGCTTGGTTGTTAGGTCTGGGACATGGGGAGACCCAGAAGGATGGGCCAAGCATCTGGCTGTCGTCTCTGTTTTTCTCTTTGTTTTCTGACTTCCCAGACTAGAAGTGTTGTGTTGAAACTTGTGTTTCAAGCTCTTCAGAGAGCTTGAAACCTGTGTAGAGAGCTCTTCAGAGAACATATGAATGCATACTCTGTTCTGACATCAGCTCCAGTGTATTCTCATGGATCTATGCTCAATTTCTACCAAGCTTTTAATAGAAAAAACATTTGCAGGGAAAAAAAAATGAGTTCCATGGGTTCTGGAGCTTTGCTTTCTGTAGCAAAAGGTGCCTGTGCTGCTCACTCAGAGCTGTTTGATTGTTGCTTTTTCCACATTCTTCTTTCTCTCTAGTCTCAAGTGTTGAATTATGAGAAAGAAGTGGAAAACCTGTCTCAGATGGAGCACGACAAGACAGAGCAGCTCGAAAGCTTAAAGGAGGAGAATCGCCACCTACGCATGACTGGGAGTCAAGAGGTAAAGGCTTCCCTGAGTGCCACAGTGCTTGGGTGCCTCTCATCTGCCAGGGTGGGGTTTTCAGCACTTTTTCCTCTTTATTTGACTGCTCATACATCCCTTTCAGAAGTCATGTGTCATCTCCCATGTTGTAATGGCAATAGGGAGTGAGAGTGGTGGCGTGGAGATGACAAAAAAGGAAATGGGAAGACTCCCATTGAAAGTGAAAGATTATTTGTGGGTAATAAAAGAGCTAATTAGTATAGTTTGGACAGTGCTTGGAGCTGGCATCACCTCATTTGCCAGTTTCCCATGATTTACCAAATAACCCTGTTCCTTCATAGCAAGAAATCCACGACTTAATGAAACAACTCGAGGAGCAGAAGCGTTTGTTTCAGATCCTGGAGGCAAAAAAGAAGGAAGCTGATGAAGAAAATCAGGTGAGCACTTGGCTCAACTCCCTCACTGTTCTCCTGTATTGAACAGGACACTTATCTCAGTCTGGTGTTCAGCTCCATTAACCCTCCTACCAAACAGCTCACTGATTGTTCCTGCCCATGGACCATCACCTAAAGCCAGGCTGTCTGCAGGCACCTGCAGATGGCTGTGTGCATGCTCTCAGGATGATGCTACCACATCTTTACAGCCTAAGAGGTCCAGAAATCTGCCTTTTTTCCCCCCACCACAGAATAGACCCCTAATAGCACGGGGATTTTCAAAACCTCCCAATGTTAGCTTAATTTTGACACTGCTGAAACGAATGGACTTACTCGTGCAAATGGAGAGAGTCTCTTTGTCCAGTCTAAGCAATGACTGCCCAGTTTTGCATGACTTCAGGATGGTCTCCTCTCTTTTAAAGCATATTACCCTGTTGTGATCATCTTGTCTGCCTCTCCAAGCAGGACACAGAATGGATCCCTGCCCCTCCTGACCTCACTTGCCCATTTGCTCAAGCAGAACTAACACTGAGCTACCTAAAAGAAAGTCAGAGCAATTTTGGTTCAAATTCAGAGCAATTTTGGTTGTGATCCAAGAGGATCTGTGTTAGTGCATGTGTGAAAATGCAATGTTCTCCTGAGCTTCTGGAAATCCATCCTGCCCTTCTGTCCCTCTGCAGAAGCTAAGGGAGGAGAACGACGGACTCCTGAGGCATCTCTCCCAGGCTCAAGAGGTTTCTTCTCTCTCTGCTCTTTCACAAGCTCGAGCCCCAGCTCCTGAAGTAGGAGGCCTTCTGTTTGGAAACCCATATTGTGGTGAGCTTACTTGGCATTCTGTCTGCAACCACAAATACACGGCAGTTCAAAGTCTCAGCAAATTACCCTTCCTCCCAAATGGAATGCTGTAGAAAAGCCATTCTGAGCAGCACCTCTGGGCAGCTTTGCAGGCGTGCAGATGACTTGGCAGCTGCCAACTGCTGCCAGGTGTTAAGAGTTGGCTGAAGTCATCAGCTGTCTGCTCATTTTCTGCCAAGAGAGACAACTATTAGCTGGTTTATTCAGCTGTGAGATGGTGCTGGGGCTTGTATCCAGCTTCCATCGTGCTAAATACAGAGGTTTAGATCCAGAGCCACGTCCTCATGTTTCAAGAATTACCAGTTATCAGCACATTACATTGTTAATAATTTTTCTGTGTCTAAATCAGCTTCCTCTATTTCCAGCTGGAGGAGCAAACCTGAGGGCAGGAGCTGCAGACATAGTAAGTAAAGTGGGCATCACTTGATGTGAAGGAGTGGTTGATGGACAGAAATTAATGGTTTGGAATGAAAAACTCCAAGTTCAGCTCTGTAGCCAATTGTCTCCTTAGTGGTTTAGTGCTGGTAAGATAGTGGACAGTAAAATGGAGCCACATATGCTTAATATATAGAATTAAATAAGAGTTACGTGTCTTAAGGAAGAGAAAGGAAACTCTGTTGGCCTTAATATTTAAGGACCAGCTTTTGGCAGCATCTAAGGTTGGGTGTGCAGAGTGCAGCTGCTAAATCCCTTATTTCCTACTGGAGACCTGGACATGTGCTACATGGGATGGAAAGTCAGTACCTCTCAGAAGTTCTTGACTTTCAAGTGCTGTCTAGAGAAGCCTGGAGACATTTGAAAACTTGAAAGTGTTAGAAATCAGAAAGACTTGGCCAAAAGTGATTATTTCTGGCTACTAAACTGCTCTGTTTCTTCTCTTTGGATAGAATCTTTAAAATGACCTTTTTTTTCCCATTTGCTTTGTACTTCAGGCTTCCCTAAGGAAGTGCCCCATGTGTGATGATGTATTCCCTGAAGATATTGAAATGAGTCAATATGAGGCCCATGTACAGAGTCATCTTCTGGAGTGCCCTCTCTGCAATGAGACCTTTGATAAGTCCAACAAGCAGGTGTTTGATGACCATATGTTTTGCCATAACCTGGAATAATTCTGAATCTGCATCTGCTCTGTAGAATAGGTGGTAGAAACCACAGCATAGAATAGACCAAAACCACTGTATGGGCTTAATTCATGCTAAGATCACCCAGACAGGACTGACAGTACCACTAGCACTATAATTCTGAGCTTTCTGTTCCACTCAGCACGTGACTAACACACAAATCAGGTCAGACATCCACGTCTTGAAGCTGAATCACCATCATCAAACTTGAGTCCTCTGTCCTGCCTCCAGTCTCTGTGCTTGTTAAATGAGTTACAAATCCTGTAATTTAGCTGAACCTGACACCAGCTCTTTGGAACAGCATTGCCATCTAATTCTTCATTCAGGCAGGGATCCAGGTGATGGGATTTAGTGCAGCAGTTTTCTGGCCCTGGTTGATACAGCTCTATTATTATGGTTTTATTCTTTTATGTAGCACTGTGACTGCTAACCAAAGACCAGAAATGGTATGTAACCTTTTAGGATCACACCTTCAGTCCTGCTCAGCTTCTGCAATGCAGAATTCATTCTGAATCAGTTAAAAAGTCTAAATAAAAATACACCTCTTCTTTCACCACCAGCCACCAAGCAAGTGGAAGAGGTGTGTGTTTATAAGGAAATAGATTCCTGTTTGGGAACAGGAGGTCAGCGTGGAGCCCACAGAAGAGCAGTACCTGAGTTGTCTTGGCAGCTGAGAGGATAAATGGTCAGAAATTGGGGCACCCTCATGGAAAGGAAGTGATGAAATTGGATTATTTCTCTTTTACGCTTCTAAACCTTGATTTACCAAGAAGAGCCTTAAACCAAAACATTGTGATTCAGAACTAAGTGCCTTGGGATATCACAGAGCTCTGTGCACAGAGCATCCAGTGACTATTTTTATTTCTGCTTCAGGATTTTCAATTTATGGTTAATGGCTTTTTTTTTTCCATGCAAGCCCAAATGGGGAAAAGTTTATGATGCAGCTGTATGAGACTGAGTTTCCTGCCGAATATCTGAAGCAATAGAAAATCCTTAAGTTTACACAGAGTTATAAGAATATTTAGTGTAATAAAGACTGCAAAGTGTTTTACTGGTTTGGTTATATGCAACCTTTTTATCTAGCTAAGTTTAAACAGATAATTTTCTGTCTTGATGTGTAGCACACTGATGTTATTTAAAAAAAACTTGTAACAGAAAATAGCAAAGAAAAATAAAAGTTATACTGAGAAAATATTGGAAAAAATGTCTATTCATTCTGAAAGAAATTAGAGGAGCTGATGGGGCTCTTGAGGGAGCTTTTTGAAGGCTCTCAGTTACTTGCTGAAGCTCCTGTCTAGCAAAGTACTTAAGCACCTCTCCACCTTTTTTCTGGTCTAAAAACCTAGAGCTGGCTGAATTTCTTCTGTGTCACAGGAAGATCCAGCACATCAACACCATTTTTCCCTAGGCTAGGAGAAAAAAGCTTCAAACCTCCTCACATGAGATGATAAAATATCATTTTTAAAATACTTTTGGTATTGTACATGTATGAAGTTATTGATTATTACATCTCAACATTCCTGGCATAGCTTTATCCCAGTTTTTATAAGCAAACATTCCATCCCAATGAGGTAAATTTTGACCTGAACACTTGTTTCCTCAGGAAAAGTCCCATTGTTTTTCAAGGAAAATGCTTCCCCCTCCCAACCTTTTCCTGTACAGCTTCATTCTAAATGACATTTTTCTTCTTTTACTGCTTTGCATCTTGCCAGAAGCAGATCAAATGTGGGGAGACACAAAAGGTTCTTCCTAAAAGCCTGCTGGTTCACCCAAAACCCAGTTACTTGAACTCTTTCCTTTCTCCACTGCTGCTTGTACTGGTTTTAGTGGCTCGTATCGTGTCCTTGTGCTGCCAGTGCCAAGTGTTGGTGCCCTGGAATTGTTTCTCCAACCCTTTTACACGGGTGCCCAGCATTTTCCACTTGCCTGCTCCTATCATTCCCACAAATCTCAGTGCCTGTGTTGAGGTGCTGGCCCTGGGACACAGGCAGCAAGAGGGTGACCGGCAGAGGGGGTCAGACTGCAATAAATCTCAGGAGGACGTTGGCTTTTGGAAGTATTTTCAGGGATGTCATTCATTTTCTGTAATAATGACACAGATTCAGACTCTCAGCCACATACTTGGGCCTGATGCAGGTCATACCTTCCCTACCCTGGGCAGCCAGGGACCAATTTACCCCCAAGCACAAATTACATCATCTCTTTTCTGACCAAGTTTTCATTTTGCTTGTAATTTACAACATTATTTATGTTACTGCTGCATTTAGCCTTTGGAATCAGAAGAGGTTTCAATCCTATCTCCATTTTATGGTTTAATACAGAAGTAGCTGAAATGGCTGATAATTAGATATAGTTATACTTTGGATGAGATCCAATATTCCATTGCTATGGATTGGATAAGGACCTTGAAATAAATTTTCAGAAGGGACAGTAGGGGTTTGGCACAATTCACACCAGAACTCATGTAGCATCTGAATGGGTATTCATTAGAAATGTATCTAGATGGAAGAAGTTAAAACACTTTGTGGCCAAATCTCTCTATGGAAGAAGTTAAAACACTTTGTGGCCAAATCTCTCTGAACAGAGATGTTTTAAAACCTTCACAGGGCTTATCAGTTTGGTCCTGCTGGGGAACTGGCCCAGTTTGGTTTCCACCAGTGCTTGCTGTGTAGCAGTTTGTTCCCTCATCCTGGGAAAACCTCTCAGCCTCAGAGAGCTCTTCCCCCTTTGTTTGGTCCTTTTGCTTCTCTCTCATTTTTTGTCAGTCAAAAATGCCATCTTTTTTGCCTTTTTTTGATGGATTTTTGCCATCCTTTTCCAAGAAGCTGGCTCCTCCCCTGGCCTTTCTCTCCCAGTATCACACACCAACTGATCCCAGCTCGTTTCACTGGTGCAGAAAAAAAAGAGACTGGCTGCAAGAGAGATGGTCACAGATTCCAGATTCCCAAATTCTTTCAGGGAAAGTCTCTGGAAGGATGCTGAATAACTGACTGGTGGCTCAGCTTCTTCCAGGGAAGAATTCCAAATCGTTCAGCCACTGTCTCTTTCCTCCACCCCTTCTTCTCCTGGTTTCTCTTCATCCATCCTCATCTTCGTTCCTCTTCCTGCAGATCAAATTGGACCTTCAGCTTTGTCCATCTCCTCCAAAAACAGGGTGTTGAGGGGGAGGTGGAGGCACAGAGCATGGTCCATCTGGCAGCACTGCTGCTGCTTCTCTTGCTTCACCTTAATGAGGCTCCCGTGGAGAGCAGAGGAAATAAAAGGATTCCTGACAAAAGGAATGTAAATAGACAAGAAGCAGGTGAACAAAGGAGGAAAAGGAAAGCTGTGTACAAGCCAGCAGCTGAGGGGTTCTACTCGGGAATCAACTTGTCAGTTTGATTTTAAGACACAGCAGAAGAGCTTGCTGGTTCTCCCCAGCACCACAATGCACATCCAGGCCTCCCAGGGTCTTGATCTTCAAAGCCTTTGACTGATCCCCCAGGATCAATCCTGGGCTGGCTTCATTAGCGGAGCTGCTTCTGCATTTGGCATGTCCATGGTGGGAAGGGGAAGAGAGCAGAGAAGGGAAAGGTGGCACAAAATGTTCCCAAATGACCCTGGGGCAGACTGCCCACTGCTTCGGGTAGGGCAGCTCAAAAAAACCTGGGGGAGGAAACACTCCTGACCCCTGGAGACTGCGGGGTGAAGGTGAAGAGGGAGATTTTTGTCCCTCCTCTTATTTGGGAAGGCCACGTTATCTTTGTGGGGCTGTGGAGAGCCAGAGTGACCTATCGAGCCCCTTCATCTCTGGTGCAGTAACACAAACAGGGAGAGCTCGGCGAGTCTGTAACGGCAAGAAACCCAAACGTTGCCATTTATCACCCTCTTTGTCCCAAATTAAACCCCTACGTGAAACGCGCCGAAGAATCCAACCTTTATTGTTTTGTTGGCGAAACGATTGGGTCCCAGAATTACATCAGTTGTTTTCTCTAAGCAGCTATTAGCCTCCTCCATTATCCTAACAGAACTGGTTTCCATCCTCTGGCTCATTTATTCCCAACCAGCATTATTGAAGTGAATGGGGTCCAGGCCCTGGATATTAGAAGAGCTGTTGGGCTACTCATAAATAACAAGTTGTCAAGGATTTTAATGGGAACCCGTAGAGTGCTGTAAATCTGTGCAGTTCTGCCTGCGTCCCCTCCCTCATTTCCATCACAATATCACTCCGGTGGGACTGCAGCTTGCAGCATGTGCCAGGCAGCAGAGATTGGTAGGACACAGGGGGGGAAAGAAGAGGAGGAGATGGGGGGAAATAAGCTGGGGATGGGGTGAGGGATTCAGAACAGTTGGTACTGCGGAAGCATCTGCTGGGTGGCCAGTTTTGGAGTCACCTGGTCTATTCAGCGTGGCGAGGGGAAAAGGGTTATTCATCCAGGGGGACTGGGGAGGGGAAGAACAGGACCAGGGATGCTGGTGGAATAAAAAGGGACCTCTCGCAGTTTACACGTCGCTCCGCTGGGCTGTGAAGCAGTAAATCTCAGCAAGGAGAGGGGTTTGGGAGGTTCTGATCCCATCTGAAGTGGCAGAGGTAATGCAGTGGTGCAGAATGTCTCTTGCTGTTAAGCAAAGAGGACTGGACTTTCCAAGATGATTTTTTTTTAACCTTCCCAGCCAGTCCAAACTACCTTCAGGGGAAAATTTCACACTGTGTCCTGATCCAAACAACAACATTTCTGTAGTTCCCTGAATCTGGCCAGAAACTGGGTGAACACAAAGTGTCTCCCTTGACTTAGACATCCCCCAAATATCTAGAGCTCAGCTGCCTGCTCAGATCACAGCACCCTGCTGCATCCAACAGGAAAGCCTACTAGGAAGAAACTTGAGCTCTGTCATCCATTCTCTGTTGGCTACACAGAATTATGGAATGGATGAAGATTGGCAGGGCCACGCTTGTTGCCATCCCACTCACAAAGCAGACAGGACTGCACAGGGGTCTGTCCAAGAGC